GGATGAACCAGTTTTTGTCTGAGTGTATTGTTGGGTTTAGAGAAACTCTTTCTGAGTTTTTTTTTTTATAATTTGTGAAACATAGGGAATTACAATGTTTTTGTTGCTTTTGGTTTTCTCCTCTATGTTAGATGCAGTGTTATTCTTTCTGAGTTACTCAACTAAGGTCCAGTATGTAAAACCACATGGTTTCAGTGATTTCCTAACATATACTATTTTTCTCTCTTCTCTGTTAAGAGGGGAATACTGTCTTCCCACTAATTCCATGTTCTGATAACAGAAATGTGTTCCAAGTATGTGTACTGGAACACAGGTTTGCCATAAACCTCCTTATTAAGGCTTCCATTGTCATCATTGTGAAAACCACAAACCAGAAAGGGAATCATGTTGTTCTTGACACCCTCTCTGTTGAAAGTAATGTCTCTGTCTACTGAGTTGATGTGGTTGGTGAATGACTCAATTTCCTGGGGTTTGGATTTCGACCTAAAGTAACTGTCACATATCTGGACCAGTGAGTTTTGTTTCTTTTGGTGTTCTGAGTGCTCTGTTCTCTACCTCTTCTACATGGAGGAGCAGAAAAAATAGCAGAATAACAACCCTTCATCTGATACAGAGTATACAACAGAAAGACACAAAACACAGTGGTCGGCTGTCAGGGCCTTCAAAGGCTTCACTGCTGGCCTGAAATCAATCAGAAACACTAACCTAAATTCATAACCTAAACTTTGATTTTCTTCTTCCCAACTGTACGTTTTCCAAACAGTCCATTATTTTAATTTTAAAGCATATATCTTGGCTTCGCTGCTTCCATTACATTTATGTGGTTGCTATATTCATTGTCCAATCGGATTTCAGCCTTAGGGTGTTGGTATGTCAATCAAATCTGCCCAGAGCCTTTGGAAGCAGCAGCGCTAGCCCTTACCTTAACAGTACGGGTTATGTCTGTCTGTCTGTCTGTCTGTCTGTCTGTCTGTCTGTCTGTCTGTCTGTCTGTCTGTCTGTCTGTCTGTCTGTCT